GCTGGCATTCCTCTCCTATGTGTAAAAATCTGAATTTCTCTTGCTGGTGTAGCTCTACCTTCTTCAGGGTCGCCGGATTTTGTTGGGTTCCGTCTAAACTCTGCGCAGCCAGACAACACGCATTTTCTACACTTTCTCTCAGAGTCAGTAAAACAGTCATTGAGCTTGTTTTGGGGTTAACAACTTGGTTGGGGTCTAAAGGTACATGGGATGCCCAAGGAACTGTAGAACTTGAGGACAACTCATGTAGACCAAAAATCAGCAACAGTCTTAAGCAGGCCATAGAGGGGTCGAAAACCAGCCATTTTTTTTTTTAAAAAAAAGAAAAATCGGTTGTTCGATCGGCCGACGTTTCAACCAACGGTAAAAAAAAATCGGCCGCCGATTTTCATCCCGTCTATGGTTGGCATTTCACCCCATAATTACTTCTGTCCCTGCAGAGAGCTTTGCTATTATATTTGACATGAAAAAGTATTGCGGTTGCAACAATGTATCTATTTGTATCCATTTTGGATACAGATGTCTTTATTCGGATACAAATAGATACATTGTTGCAACTGCAAGACTTTTTCATATAAAATATAATAGCGGACTGGAATTCTTCTTCTTCTCCTCCTCCTCCTCCTCCTCTTGCTCTTCCTCTTCTTCTTTTTCTTCTTCTTCTACTTCTTTTTCTTCTTTTTCTTCTTCTTGTAGGTCACGGCTCATCCGCAAATTTTTTATCGGTAAAACGATCAGCCGATTTACCCATCATTGCCGGGAAAGTCGGCCGATCGGCAAAATTGCCCGCGAATTTTCCAACATGTCCGATAAAAAAAAATGTGCAAAAAGCCCGAAAAATGACCGACAAATTAACCCACTAACAGTGCGAACATCGGCCAATTTTTGAACCGTCTATGGCCGGCATTAGTAAGGAGCACTGAGTCCCCTCTTAGTGTACCTCCTCAGACATCAGATGAAACTCTCCTCATCCACCCGGCTGTATTGAGGGTATCTGGGGGCAAGGGATTCCAGAATCTACTGCAGAGTAGTCCCAAAGGAGAACTAGTTGGGTGTTGCACCTGACCGCCCTCTCCCTTCTGTGGCCCGGGGGCTGTAGAACTACTCGCACTGTCCTGTTCTGTTAGCTTAGTGGGTTGCAGCTGCTTTCAGGCCTTGCACCCTTCCCTGCTGACAGGCTGCCTTTCCTGGTAGACTGCAGGGCAGTGGAGAGCCTTCTGTCTGGTCCAGCCTGTAGGTAGGCCGGCCTCCCACACTCCAGCACCTTCCTTCAGTCCATCTTCCACCCGAATCCAACACACACTACTCCCTTGCTGTACAGGCTCTCTCATATTTAGGGGCTGCTCTTAGCCATCATGCTCGGCCTCCTGCCTTGGGGTTTGGCCAAGTTCCCTTAAACATGCAAGCCCAGGCCTCCTCCTCTGCTTTGCCCCTCTTCTAGAAAGTTGCTGGAGTTTCTAGATGGGTGGGTGTCCTTGCTGACAGGCTGTCTTTCCTGGTACACTGTGGGACAGTAGGGATCCTTCTGTCCAGCTTCGGCCTGTAGGCAGGCCCCCCTCCTAGGTTCCACATCAGCACCTTCCTTCACTCCATCTTCCACCCGACTCCAACAACTCCCCTGCTGTTCAGGCTCTCCCACATTTAAGGGTTGTCCTAACCACCATGCTCGGCCTCCTGCCTAAGGATTGGCCAAGTTCCCTTAAAGATGCAAGCCTAGGCCTCCTCCTCTGCTTTGCCCCTCTTCTAGAAAGTTCCTTGAGTTTCTATAAGGGTGGGAGGGCTCCAGAAGCCCTGACCTGTAGAGCCTCCCAGCTCGACCTGAGCCTCACTCCCAGGCTAACTCATCCCAGGCTTCTAGCAAGCCTCTGACTCACCACAAAAATCCTATCTACCTGGAGGGTGCTACACTAGAAAATAATTTAGCCCCCCCAAATGTTATACATGGCTCCAAAAAATGAAAGGAAGACTTTGAAAAACATCAGATCTCAATGGGTAAAAATCTCCTGCTGGATCTCTATCCTGACATGGACGGGGTGATGTGTGACGAACGTAAGGATTCCCCAATGTTTGATAGAAATGAAAATGATCGACCTACAGAGGACTGAATTCAAAGACACCCCGAAAATCAAAGTGAAGATATGATGCAGCAGGCGAGTCCATTTGGCTGAAATGTCATTACAGCAACTCAGAATGGTCCTCAGTAGTCTGTGTTGCCCCCACGGGCTTCTATGCATGCCTGACAACGTCGGGGGAGGGTCCTAATGAGACCACAGATGGTGTCCTGGGGAATTTCCTCCCAGATCTGGACCAGGGCATCACTGAGCTCCTGGAAAGTCTGAGCTGCAACCTGGCGGCGTCGGATGGACCGAAACATGACATCCCAGAGGAGTTCTATTGGATTTAGGTCAGGCGAGCTTAGGGGCCAGTCAATGGTATCATCCTCCAGGAACTGCCTGCATACTCTCGCCACATGAGGTCGGGCATTGTCCTGCACCACGAGGAACCCAGGACCCTTCATCCTCCAGGAACTGCCTGCATACTCTCCCCACATGAGGCCGGGCATTGTCTGCACCAGGAGGAACCCAGGACCCACTGCACCAGGAGGAACCCAGGACCCCCTGCACCAGGAGGAACCCAGGACCCCCTGCACCAGGAGGAACCCAGGACCCCCTGCACCAGGAGGAACCCAGGATCCACTGCACCAGGAGGAACCTAGGACCCACCGCACCAGGAGGAACCCAGGACCCCCTGCACCAGGAGGAACCCAGGACCCACTGCACTAGTGTAGGGTCTGACAATGGGTCCAAGGATTTCATCCCCATACCTAATGGCAGTCAGGGTGCCATTGTCTAGCCTGTAGAGGTCTGTGGGTCCCTCCATGGAGATGCCTCCCCAGACCATCACTGACCCACCACCAAAACGGTCATGCTGAACCATGTTACAGGCAGCAGAACGTTCTCCACGGCATCTCCAGACCCTTTCACGTCTGTCACATGTGCTCAGGGTGAACCTGCTCTCATCTGTGAAAAGCACAGGGCGCCAGTGGTGGACCTGCCAATTCTGGGGTTCAATGGCAAATGCCAATTGAGCTCTATGGTGCAGTGAGCACAGGGCCCACTAGAGGACGTCGGGCCCTCAGGCCACCCTCATGAAGTCTGTTTTTGATTGTTTGGTCAGAGACATTCACTCCAGTGGCCTGCTGGAGGTCATTTTGTAGGGCTCTGGCAGGGCTCATCCTGTTCCTCCTTGCACAAAGGAGCAGATACCGGTCCTGCTGATGGGTTAAGGACCTTCTACGGCCCTGTCCAGCTCTCCGAGAGGAACTGCCTGTCTCCTGGAATCTGATCCATGCTCTTGTCTCCTGGAATCTCCTCCATGCTCTTGTCTCCTGTCCAGCCCTCCTAGAGTAACTGTCTCCTGGAATCTCCTCCATGCTCTTGTCTCCTGGAATCTCCTCCATGCTCTTGTCTCCTGGAATCTCCTCCATGCTCTTGTATCCTGGAATCTCCTCCATGCTCTTGAGACTGTGCTGGGAGACACAGCAAACCTTCTGGCAATGGCACGTATTGATGTGCCATCCTTGAGGAGTTGGACTGCCTGTCCAACCTCTGTAGGGTCCAGGTATCTCCTCATGCTACCAGTAGTGACACTGACCCTAGCCAAATGCAAAACTGTTGAAAAACAGTCAGAAAAGATGACAGTTCTTATATGAAATAAACCATGAAAGTCCAAGTCAGACATGAAGTCTGGTGATGAAATATCAAGTGCAAAGGTGATATAGTATCCAAATCTTCTGGTGATATTAAATAATAAATTGCGCACTCACCAGATGTGCAAAGTTAAAGCGCATTTTGAGAAGATAATCTCTCAGGAGATCAGCTGGAGTGTCTTAACCGGGCCTCTGCCGTCTGATGTGGATTCCTCCCTGGATGGCTCCTGGGTAGCAGCTACGCTCTCTCCTTAGTGAGGAATACTGTGGATGGTTGGACTCATGAAGAGTCCACAAAAGGAGACCACATAGCGTGATGCTGCTTCAAAAAGCTTTAATCCGGTCACAGGTACAGATAGGAGGCAAAGTTATATATTAGACACTGACCAGTAATCAAGTAAGATGGCTGCCGGACCACCACAGAGACGTCACGCTGCTGGGACCCTGCGGTGATCTCTGTAGAAGTGGGAGCATCTCGCCAAACATCACATTTTTGTTGCAGGGGATATCTAAAATCTGACTTGTATCCATGGCCGGATCTAGGGGGGTGCTGTGGTGGGTTAGGCCCCTCCATTTATTAGTTGCGCCCCCCCCTTCCCTGATACTTTACCGCCCTAGTTTGACACTGTACTGATCTCATTGTGCATTGTGTGGGGAGGAGGAGCTCTGCTGCCTGTACTCAAGCTGTTTGCAGTGCAGGGATGGGAGAAGAAACTGTGCCCTGTCCTCTGCCCTGCCAGCAATGACCCCGTCCTCTGCCCTGCCAGCAGTGCCCCTGTCCTCTGCCCTGCCAGCAATGACCCCGTCCTCTGCCCTGCCAGCAGTGACCCCTGACCTCTGCCCTTCCAGCAATGACCCCGTCCTCTGCCCTGCCAGCAGTGACCCCTGACCTCTGCCCTTCCAGCAATGACCCCGTCCTCTGCCCTGCCAGCAGTGACCCTGTCCTCTGCCCTGCCAGCGGTGACCCCTGTCCTCTTCCCTGCCAGCAATGGACCCTGCCCTCTGCCCTGCCAGCGGTGATCCCTGTCCTCTGCCCTGCCAGCGGTGACCCCTGTCCTCTGCCCTGCCAACGGTGACCCATGTCCTCTGCCCTGCCAGCGGTGACCCCTGTCCTCTGCCCTGCCAGCAGTGACCCCTGTCCTCTGCCCTGCCAGCGGTGACCCCTGTCCTCTGCCTCGTCAGCGGTGACCCCTGTCTTCTGCCCTGCCAGCAGTGACCCCCTGTCCTCTGCCCTGCCAGCAGTGACCCCTGTCCTCTGCCCTACCAGCAGTGACCCCTGTCCTCTGCCCTGCCAGCGGTGACCCCTGTCCTCTGCCCTGCCAGCAGTGACCCCGGCCCTCTACCCTGCCAGCGGAGACCCCTGTCCTCTTCCCTGCCAGCAGTGACTCCTGTCCTCTGCCCTGCCAGCAGTGACATCTGTCCTCTGCCCTGCCAGCAGTGACCCCTGTCCTCTGTCCTGCCAGCTGTGACCCCTGTCCTCTGCCCTGCCAGCAGTGACCCCTGTCCTCTGCCCTGCCAGCTGTAACCCCTGTCCTCTGCCTTGCCAGCTGTAACCCCTGTCCTCTGCCTTGCCAGCTGTGACCCCTGTCCTCTGCCCTGCCAGCTGTAACCCCTGTCCTCTGCCCTGCCAGCTGTGACCCCTGTCCTCTGCCCTGCCAGCTGTGACCCCTGTCCTCTGCCCTGCCAGCTGTAACCCCTGTCCTCTGCCTTGCCAGCTGTGACCCCTGTCCTCTGCCCTGCCAGCTGTGACCCCTGTCCTCTGCCCTGCCAGCTGTGACCCCTGTCCTCTGCCCTGCCAGCTGTAACCCCTGTCCTCTGCCCTGCCAGCTGTGACCCCTGTCCTCTGCCCTGCCAGCAGTGACCCCTGTCCTCTGCCCCGCCAACATTTTTTACTGCACCCCCACATCGGACAGACTAGATTCAGCCCTGCTTGTATCTCAGTGCAGACTTCTGGGAAAATCAGTGAGCCAATCACACAGGCAGGACATTATATTAATGGAAGGGGGGGGGCAATGTTTCCCCGAAAACGCGTTGGCTTGATTATTTTTTTTGGCTACTACCCCCAAAAAAACTATTACAAACTCACCATGGAACTTCAGTGCATTCAGTGGACATCGGGCGCTCCTTTCTACCTACCTTTACATGTACATGCGGAAACGACCTGCAGGCGGTACCCAGAGGCAGCAGCCCAAACCCCACCTCCCTCCCCCCCCAAAATAAAAGAGCTCACCGCCACCCTCTTTTTAAGCTGGGCAGAAACCATTGGAAGGGAATTCTTCCATCCCGCCCCCATCATCCTTGACCAATGACTAAGTCATTCCAGCGCCATCTTCAACCCTCAAGAGATACGTCGATGACATACGGAATGCCTCCAGGCGGCCATGTTGAATTTTACAGGCGATGACAGCGGCTGCAGATTGGAAAGGAAAAGTCGTTCATAATAACATCCAATCACAGTCTGACTCGTGTTATGATTGTATACGCTTTGTTTTTTTTTATTTGCTATTTGCTGCAGAGTTTCCCTTTTAGTAAGCGTGCGTCCCGGAAAATGGAAGACTTTCCGTAATTTTGCCTATCCATGGCAGCGTACGGAAGGTCGTGGGTGGAGCAACCAACCCTCGGAGTACTGCCATGGATCGGCGCCAGGAGAACTAGGATTGAGTGCTGAATGTTCTGTTCTGGGCCCAGGCAGTACTGGTTCTCTTTACGTTCTGAGAAGATTGTCTACAATGGTGGCCCCTCTGTGAGCTTCAGAGGTCTGTCAGAACTGCATCCTGCGTTCTACCTGAACGAAGGAAAAAAACGCAACGCATTACCATTCACCGCCGACCTTTAAAGCACGCAAAGCGCTCATTAACCCGCCGCTGATTGTGTCACCGGAGAGGTCACAGAGGAAGAAAGGCTTCGCTCCAGTAAAGGTATTGTGGTCGCTTGCATCTGGAGGGTTCAAGGGAGCCAACCTCCAGCATGCTGTACACAGCGCTTGGTGGAAACGTGGAATAAATAGAGATTTGGTCTTCCTTCAAAACTAGAGAGCCCTTTGGAGGCCCTCCATTGTCCGCAGATGGAAGCCGCATACAGATCGCGCCCCCTATACTGGCTTCGGCTGCTCCATTTTGGTGGCCAATTGGAGTGGGTGTTGCTTGGATACAAAAAATGTATCGGATGAAATATGTTGTCGAAAAATATCTGCTCCTGTAAAGGATGAAAAATCGACTGATGACACGGAAGGAGGTTGTAAGCCTCAGACATGAAATATGAACAAAGCACATCCCTCCATAGTGTGTACTTGTTCCAGTCCAGAGCACTGAGGGACCTTTCACACGGGCGGACTGTCATTGTCATCAGTTCAGTCACGGTTTTTCCTAGAATGTAAGGATCAGTTCACATTCATTTTTTCATCCATTTATATCCGTTTGTCATCAGTTTACATCCATTTCCATCCGTTTTTTTTCATCCGTTTACATCACTTTATCATCTGTTTACATCAGTTTTACATCAGTTTACAGCAGTTTACATCTGTTTTTCATCCATTTTCACCAGTTTACATCCATTTTTCATGTTTACATCTGTTTTTTTTTCACCAGTTTACATCAATTTACATAAGGATCAGTTCACATTCATTTTTCATCCATTTACATCCGTTTTTCATCAGTTTACATCCGTTTTTCACCAGTTTACATCCATTTACATCCGTTTTTTATCTGTTTACATCAGTTTTTCATCAGTTTACATCCATTTTTCACCAGTTTACATCCATTTACATCCGTTTTTTTTTTTTCTGTTTACATCAGTTTTTTCATCATCAGTTTACATCCATTTACATCCCTTTTTCATCTGTTTACATCAGTTTTACATCAGTTTACAGCAGCTTACATCTGTTTTTCATCCATTTTCACCAGTTTACATCCGTTTTTTTCATGTTTATATCTGTTTTTTTTCACCAGTTTACATCAATTTATATGCATTTTTCACCCATATACATCCGTTTTCACTTGTTTACAGTGGCTTATATCCATTTTTCATTCATTTTCAGCTGTTTTTCACCAATTTACATCCGTTTTTCATCTGTTTACAGTTTATCATCCGTTTCCATCTTGTTATCATCAGTTTACATCCATTTTTCATCAGTATACATCCGTTTTTCATCAGTTTACATCTGTTTTTTCACCAGTTTCCATCCGTTTCCATCCGTTTTTTTTTTTATCTGTTTACATCAGTTTATCATCAGTTTGCATCTGTTTTTTCATCCATTTCCATCTGTTTTTCATCGTTTACATCCATTTTTCAGCCGTTTACATCAGTTTTTCACCAGTTTACATCCCTTTTTTATCCGTTTACATCAGTTTTTTCATCAGTTTACAGCAGCTTACATCTGTTTTTTTCATCCATTTGCACCAGTTTACATCCGTTTTTCATCTGTTTACATCTGTTTTTCATTTAGTTGACATCAGTTTACATCCATTTTTCATCCACTAACATCCGTTTTCACTTGTTTACAGCGGCTTACATCCGTTTTTCATCAGTTTACATCCGTGTTTAATCCGTTTTCATCTGTTTTTCATCGGTTTACATCAGTTTTTTACCAGTTTTATATCAGATTCCATCCGTTTTTCATCTGTTTACATCACTTTTTCATCTGTTTACATTTGTTGACATCCGTTTTTCATCCGTTTACATCAGTTTTTCACCAGTTTACATCAGTTTTTCATCAGTTTACATCCCTTTTTCATCCGTTTACATCAGTTTTTCACCAGTTTACATCAGTTTTTCATCAGTTTACATCCCTTTTTCATCCGTTTACATCAGTTTTTCATCAGTTTACAGCAGCTTACATCTGTTTTTCATCCATTTTCACCAGTTTACATAAAATTTTCACCAGTTTACATCCATTTTTCATCTGTTTACATCTGTTTTTCATCAGTTGACATCAGTTTGCATCCATTTTTCATCCATTAACATCCGTTTTTCACTCGTTTACAGTGGCTTACATCCGTTTTTATTCCGTTTTCGTCTGTTTTTCAGCAGTTTACACCAGTTTTTTACCACTTTACATCAGTTTCCATCCGGTTTTTTTTTTCTGTTTCCATCACTTTTTCATCTGTTTTACATCCATTTTTTATCCATTTACATTTGTTTTTTTCATCTGTTTTACATTCATTTTGCATCAGTTTACATCCGTTTTTCATCTGTTTACATCTGTTTTTCATCAGTTTACATTTGTTGACATCCGTTTACATCTTATTTTTGTCAGTTTTCATCCATATTTCAGCCGTTTACATCCGTTTTTTTCATCTGTTTACATTCATTTTTCACCCATTTTCATCGGTTTTTCATTAGTTTACATCTGTTTTTCACCAGTTTACATCAGTTTACATCCATTTCTCAACTGGTTACATTCATTTTTCATCCATTTACATCTGTTTTTTTACATCCTTTTGCCAATGTATAAACAGACCGTATGTCCGTTTACATCCATTTTCATGATTACATCCATATACAACTGTTTTTTTTTTTCATCTGTTTACATCCGTTTTTCATAATTTTACATAAATTTTTCATCCATTTACATCCATTTTTCATCTGTTTACATCAGTTTTTTTTTTTTTTTTTTTTTTTTTCATCTGTTTACATCCAATTTTCATCCATTTACATCTGTTTTTTTATCTGTTTTTAAATCTGTTTTTTCCATCCTTTACCAATGAAAAAACGGACCATATGCTCACTTACATCCATTTACATCCGTTATTTAATTTGTTTACATCCGTTTATATCAGTTTTTTCATCGGTTTTACATCCATTTTTTTATCCATTTACATCCATTTTTAGACTGAGCACTTTGCAAGAGCAGTTAGTAAATGAGGGGAGGATCTGCTGACTTCCATCATCCAATCATGTGCCAGCAAAAATTAGGTTTTTTTTTTTCCTTGCATATGATTGGGTGTTCTTTGTAAAGTGAAGCTTTACCTCATTTACTAACCTATGTAGAAACTGCACTTTGCAAAGTGCACAGTCTATTTTGTCTTTAGTGAATCAACCCGTAAGTGTCATTTTCTCTTTGCAGACTCCTTCCTCTGTTGTCTTCACGAGTCGCTTGTGCTGTACATTTCATTACAAATTCGAATTTGGAGGAATTTTTCGTTATTCGGACGTTCGGATTTCTCAGAATTTCCGAACTACAATAGTAATGAATTCGAAATAACGAAAACGAAATTGACAAAACCTGCGTTTGGAAAGAAAAGTAGAATACATAGAGGGACTTTTATTGGGAAAGTACAACAAAAAAAAATCCACAAGTTTAAACCAGATGGTGATCGTAACTGCTGTAGTTCATCCTAATCACAATATGGGGTGTTGTTTTCAGCCTAATTGGATGTCTTGAAGATGACAAGGTGACTGGCCAGGATAGAGAGTTGTAGCTTTTGATCAGATTAAGATTAAGATGTAGGAATTTGTTGTGGGTCCAGCAGAATTCAGGACTGCTCTGAACTTTATAGAAAATCTCAGGAACTAAGTGAATATCCCGTACCTTGAATATGCGTATGAATGGAGATGCTGCATACACTGTTTAGGAAAAGTAAGGATGTAGACGTTTCTGGTGTCCAGGAGGAGAAGTCATGTTCCCTTCCTACCTGGGCCAGAGACAGTCAATGGATGTCTGTTGCAGAGGAGCTTTCTAGGTATG